CGAACTCCAGAGAACAGAAATTTACACACCATATAATAACAGGAAATTGCAACAAATTTATAAAAAAAATCACCAAGCTTGGGAGTTAATCATAATTGTTCATTTCCCTCGAATATTCGAAATAGTTGCAATCCAATGAATCTAAGCACATAATTTTGAGGTATTTGCTCAAATTTAAGAGAACAATTCTAAGAACTCTAGAAGTGGTTTTTATTTACAAACATTAGGATTCAAGCAAGAATGAACTTTTCTATCCAAAGAATTCACAAGATAACAGAATGCTGGCAATACCATTGGTAAGAATTAAGAACTAAAAGTAGATCCAAATACCTCTTGGATACTGCCAACAGGTTGCTTATCGAACTCGATGACAACATCACCAGGACGGAACCCAGCACGACTAGCAGGGGATCCAGGAGTTACCTATTGAAGTATTTGCTAAATTCTATTCACTCATGCCAAATTTAATACATAAAATAAGAAGAAAAGGATAGAAAAGGAAGAATGTAATGCAAAAAGGTATTAATATTACCATAGCTACAAGAACCCCTTTAGTAACGTCTGGAAAAGATGTATCTCTTTCTTTAAGTTGTTCGATTATCATTTCATTGAGATCGATCATTTTCAATCCAAGCCAAGGCCGAATAACTCTCCTGCATCATCACACTTTATATTATAACCATCATTGGAAAATAAAAATAAAGCCATTTCATTCAATCCTTGAATGCAAAATAAAAACAATGGTGAAATAAATCTATTTTACACATGAATGGAGTATATTCAATTCAATTCACTAGTAAAAAACAATGTTAGTCTCTAAATGTGTTATAATACCCTCTTTTCTTGAATTGCTCTGTAATTTTGGAGACTGAATCAATTGGTACAGCGAAACTTAATCCAACAGCATCATCCACTTTCATAATATTTACACCAATAACTTCTCCATCAACATTAACAAGAGGACCCCCAGAATTTCCCTACATGACAAATACTGATTACAGAATGCCAGTGTTTCGTATTTATTTTAACAACAATGAAGCGCGTTCGATATTGCAAAGGGAGATGGGTAAAAAATGAGATACATACCACGTTAATTGCACAATCTGTTTGTAGATATTCCCTTCGCATTCCACCAAGACCCAAATCACTACTCTTACGGTCAACACAACTGAATCGAATCAAAGACGAAAAGTAGACAATCAAATATATAGTTAATGCTAAGCAAGGACACTTCTTAAACATGTATTGCATGTTTGTTAGTACAAATGCATGTGTTAAACACGGGTGGTATAAAGTGAATAAGGACCGAACATCTATTAGGCATGTATAGGACACTTGTTCGAGCATACTAAATAGATAAAAATAGTAATGCTTGATACGTGAAATACATCAAACTCATCTTTTAAGCAAATAAATGCATAATCTTATTGACGTCAAAAAAAAATTCATATATAAAAATGACACTTTTAGAAAAAAATATTGTTTAATACTTGTCGTTTCAAGTCCTAGATTTTTAAAAGTATGACATGGCGCCATGTCTATATCATATCTAACCATGTCTCATGTCTGTATTCGTGCCTCTTAGTCAACAACTATAGATAACACTTAAAAGTACGTAATTGAGAAAAAGACTTTGTATCATTCATGTCTTCAGTATAAAAAATATGAAGGAATTATATGTTCTTATCTCTTCCATGGAAACATCAAGTACAGAGAAACTTCCTATAATTGACCACCTTACTATACCAGCTGTGACAGTATTCTGAAGCGAAAGAGGACACCCAATTGCTACAACCCAATCCCCTGGTCGGAGCTTGCTTGAAGAACCAAGCTTTGCCATGGGAAGAGGGCTTTTAGAATTGATTTTCACAATGGCAATATCAGAGTGAAAATCAGCATTCATTACTGTCCCTTCAAATGTCCGACCATCTTGTAAAGTAACCTCTACCTGTACCATTCCACGCATTCATTATTGTTTGTATTATTGTGATAAAAAGAACATAGTATTAACCAGGGGAGAAAATTGATATGATTATCAAGATCAGCATTTCAACACATCACAATAAAACAAAAGGATCCCTAAACATATTCTTGTTGTGCTCAGGAGGAAAGCAAACAAACAGGCTGACATATCTACTTGCCTTTCCTTTTGATGCAGCTCGTGGACCATGAAAATCCGTCACGACATGGGCACATGTTAAAATAGTACCATCCTTGTCAATAATTGTTCCGGATCCCATGCTTTTAGCAGTAGCAATTCCGTAAATACCTAAGAAAACAATCCCTTACCAACTTTTTTTCACAGAAATCACAATAAAAATAACAAATATTTGCCAATACCATGTGAAACAGAAATATTTACAACAGCAGGGCCGACATCTGCTGCAGCATTTGCAATTGTATCTCTATCCAAACATCTTGGACAAGGCTTCTGCGTATCTCCAGGCTTTTCCTTCTCCACACCAGATGGTGGAGCAGGACTGACTCTTGAAGAACAAAATGAAAGACCTACAATTTCACACAAGACCTCCAGTTGAAACAGAATCTATGTAAAAAAAAAAAAAACTTGCCTACAATCAAGAAAGTAACTAAACAGACAGACCCAATTTCTGGTGATCAAATGCACCGGAAGGATGAATCGTGAAGCCGTGTGCGGTCTGCCATGGAAGAAAAAGTGGCTCACTCAAAGCAGCAGGAATTGACAACACTACAGAGGATCCTTCAATGAAGAAACATACAAAGACCAATGAATAGAACATTCTCAAGATATTGACCAGTACAGAATTTACATTCATCTACGTTATCGATTCATCAGACATACAGCAAAAAAAAAAAAAAAAAAAAACTCTCCTGAGTGTTCATTTTCATTCATCAATATCTTGAAAGCCATTAAAAGAGCTCCAAAACTCACCAGAATCTAATTTGCTACCAGCATACCAGAAACAAGAACCAGCAGCAGCAATTGCAGCGATCCGTCCGAGCGTGTTGCGTGAGCTCGAAACCTTTGTCTGCAAAAATCAGATTCATCAATAAACAATAACACATAAAAACATAAAAAGAACAATTAAAAAGAACAAAAAAACTGATATCGATTGAGGATTGAAGAGTGATTCAACTAAATACAACAAGAAGCGGGATCATTGGCGTTGTCTTTTGCTCGGAAATTCCCCGTAGTTGTTTGTCCGAAACTTGTTTTCCGAATCGCCGCCTGAACCCTTAAATTCCGGTTAACGCCGACGAGGAGGCAAACAGTATTGGGTCCAATTTGAACACCCGGCCCATGGGTCCAACAATTTAGTGGACCCAATTTGAATACTCGGCCCATAGGCCCAACAATTTAGTGGACCCAATTTGAATACTCGGCCCATAGGCCCAACAATTTAGTGGACCCAATTTGAATACTCGGCCCATGGGCCCAACAATTTAGTGCGATCACACACCCATGAAAATGAGTTTGGTTCAAATAAATTAAATAAATTATGTTTTATACGTTCTACTAAAATAACTAAAATATCATATAAATTTAAATTTATTGTTAATTTTTTTAAAAAAATTAGCTTAAGATACAATTAGATCAATGGAACAAAAGGATGAGAAGGATGGATACGTACATGAGCGGATCATCTTGAGTAAGCAATAAGAGGAGCGTTCGAGGACCCCATTTATGTGTGTTCACAAAGAAATGCATTGAATATCCATACAATTAGAGAGGCTCGTGTTTAACTTAAAGAGAAGGATAAAATGGATTTGTTATGATGCACACAACTGTATGAAAATTTTCAGTATATCTGCCTTAAATGGATATGGACAATAGTTTAGTTATAATTGAGATTCTGTTGGTCAATGACTCGATATCTTGAAATTTCATTCATTCATTGACTTCTACGGTTGAATGGAAGTACAAGTACTGAACGTGTGTCTTAGGTAGACAGTCTTGACCCTTCTATTTTCGAACGTTGCTTTAGTACGACCTCAGACTCGTGTGACTTAGGTAGATAGTCATGTGTGTCTTAGGTAGACAGTCTTGGCCCTCCTATTTTCGAATGTTGCTTTAGTGCAACCTCATACCTCCCTCAAGTAGATAGTCATGTGTGTCTTAGGTAGACAGCCATGACCCACCTCGTCAACGTTAACCGTATCTTTATATGCGAACTCATAATCGTGACATTGTCACGATACAGTAAAAAAAAAAAAAACTCAACATTGGTCAAGGAAAACTACGTAAGATTCAAAACAATACATTCTCGACACAATTGTTTGAGTCTAAGATGTTAAGATATATCACTCCCTAACACAAACCCTCTTATCCCTAGAATATTTAATATAACCCTAACACAAACCCTCTTATCCCTAGAATATTTAATATAATATATGGTAGGGAAAAAAACTAGGCTTATTTATTAAAAAAAATGCGCATCCGGGGAATCGAACCCCGGTCAGTACCGTGGGAGGGTACTATGATACCACTACACTAGATGCGCTGTCGATGTCAGCTTATGTTTAAATTTATAAATAAACTAATATTATTTATTTTATTCTCTTAAGACTTGACAAATTTAATTATATCTTTCTTTTCCTAAAAATACAGATGTTTTAACCTCAATCAACCTACCTTATTTATATGGTTCGATTAAGGTTCATTCCAATAAAAACGGGTTTAGTGGTTAATTAATTTTTCTAAATTAATTTGGGTTGATCTAAATGAACATGGAAGCTCTACTAAAATTAAAGATTTTCGAGTTGAAAATAAATAATTTATATATTAACATTTTACTATTGAATAAATCCAACCTAATATTTTATCAAATATAAAATTGAATATTATGACTAAAAGAACCCTAAATATTCACTTTTGTGTCGAGTAAGTCTGAACCATTTTAAATATTCAAAGACTTATCGGACCGGAGATTAAAAGCTTAAAAATTTTGTTAGACATTTTTTAAAATTTAAAAACTAAAACTACACAAACCTATTTTCAAAATTTAATCACCAAATACACAAACTTACAAGTTGATTAACATTAACATAAACTTACTTGATTCTGCATGAATTCATATTCATAAGATAAATACATCTTTCAGATTTTGAGCATGGAGAATGAATATTTTAAACTTACTCAGCAACATTGATTTATCACTTCTTGACTGAGAGTTTAGCAGTTAATCTACCTCGAACGGTTCTCGTCTCAGAGTTATGTTTTCTTGATTTCCTTTTTCTGCCCTTTCGTGGCCGTGACCCTCGTGACTCGTCGACGAAGTGTCTCCGACGTTTTAGACGTTCTCGTCGTATGGCAGGATCTGCCCAGCCTCTGCCCCATTCTGAGAAGGATGAGTAGGATTTGGGTTTGGCCATTGAGAGGAGCATGTCTGCTTCAGGGTAAACATTGAATATTTGGTCATTTCTGGATAGAAACTCCAATCCCAGCTTGGTTGGCTCAGGGAATTTTATCTGAACATGGTTCTGCAGAAGAAGTCATGCTCAGAATGTGCATGAGTAGTAGGAAAAAAAAACTAGAAAAGAAGTCCATATTAATATTAGCCAATAATAATAATAATAATAAATCAATAAAGGAAATTATTGATAGAGCTCAAATTATGTCCGTAATTTGGCGATGTCTTGTCTGAGAGGAAGTAGCTCGACTCGAAGAGGAGATGGAGTAGGTAGCTCAAGATCATTCCGAGGGGACCGGCTAGATCAAGACTAGGAAAGATGATCCCTAGGACAAGAAGAAATTGAATCCATACACCCAATTTATTGTTTCTACCCCTCCCCGATGTAGCCAGCCTGGGACCTGAACTCGGATTTCAGCCACTATAGTTTAGATGCAGCTTGACGACTGAGTGAAGGTTGGGAGTGGACTGCTCGAGTATGATCTAAAACGATCCCACATTCTAGAAAGAACTGGACACTGGGAAGCCTTCATTGAGTAATGGGAAGTGGGCTAGTGCCAAAAAAAACCTAGCCAACTAAAAGAAATAGTTGTGGCTCAAAATCAACTATTCGTTCTCGGTAATGTGGCCAGTCAGCGGGCAGGAGGGAGGGAAGCGTCTAGGGAGTAATGGGAAGCGGGCTAGTCCCCAAAAAAGCCTTACCAACTATAAGAAATAGTCGGGGCTCAAAATCAACTATTTGTTCTCAACAATGTGGCCAGTCAGCGGGCAAGAGGGAGGGAACCGTCTAGGGAGGTTCGGGAGCTCCCCCCTCCCCCACACTCTCCAAAATGCCAAATAAGAGCCACAGTTCAGCCAAAAGCAAAAAGATACTCTCCTCACCACAAAGGCCTTAAAGAAGGACAATTAACCAAATCTCTCTAAAAGTATAACTATCCGAATCCAATGGTCCCCAACAAATCACAACCTCACTCACTATCACGAAATTTACACCATTCAATCCTTCCTTCTTTCCTTCTCTTTAAGTATAGATGACTTTAGTGGCATGGGCCGAGGTCTATCAACTATCATGTAAAGAATAATTACCAAAAAAAAAAAAAAAAGACACCAAAAAGATGCTAAATATTTAGTTACATCTGCTAACGATATTCCCTAAATTTATTGATTCCTTTCTAACCAAATTTTTTTAATTCGTTGTTTTAATCATACTTGCCCATGAAATAGTCCATATGACTTTCAAATGTCTTCATTTAGTTCTTAAACTTTCAAATTCTGTATTAATCTCTAAATTTTATCTAAAAATTTGTACTAATACTTACCATTACTCAACACAACCTATTATATGTAAATTTGTTCATCTTAAATACTCTACAAAAAGGAAAACAAATGTGTCTATGACTAAAAAAGGGTTTTTACGCAAAATTTAAAGAAGTTTGGGGACTAAAATAGAATAAATATGAAAGTTATAAGAGAGGATTTTTTAATGTTTATTAATGGTATAGAACAAGTGAATCTAGTAAGAACTGTTTGATGCTAAGGATGCAAGTATTTAAAGCACAAGACGAGAATTATTCCAAGGAAAAAAAATATTAAGTTAATTATAATTGCTGATTGCATACCCTGTTATCTCCTTCTTTCAAGTAACCTTCAGCTTCCAAAATTCTTGTAAGACCTCGCCACCAGAGCATATAAGTTGCCGCGAATTTCATAGACTGCATGCCCATGGAATGTAAATAATCAAAATGGTCTTAACTTGGAATCTTCTAGAACAGTTACAACATTAAGCAAACAAACATAAATCCAAAAAGAGTAAGCATCACCTGCTCTCTTACTTTACTGACAAACAACCTCAAATTTGGCTTCTCCCTGAATCTCTGTTTGACATTACCGTATGTGAAATCATCGTACAATCCTTCAACTAAATATTGCTGTACATGAAATTAAACATTAGCTTATTATGATGATATTTAGAAACAATATAAGATTTTGAAATCATCGAATATCTCGTGTGGAACTTCTCGAACACGAAAATAAAACGTTAAATTGTGAACTGTGAGTTTCAGGACTGTGTACATACGTAGAGCTGGGGAAAAAGAGTTGGATAAAACTATAATCTGCACAGAACAGGCTTAATAAAAGTAAATATATATCATCAAAATACTTACATGATGAGCAGCAATGACCTGCATTAATATATTTGCTTCCTCCTTCAAATTCTGCATATTTGGAGGTCCCTTCACACAAACATCACACCTACAAAAGAAATTCCATCAATGAGTGTGGAAGAAATGAAGTTTGGTCAAGTTGATTTCTTTATGATGTATAAATTACAGTGGCTTATTTTAGTAACGATAATGTATCATACTATGATTGTCGGTAACTAAAAGAACAAGATAAAGGACCAAACTCTGAACAGTTGTAACCAGAAAGTAAACTGGAAACTGACTTAAAATTTGAAAGAAATGTTACATGAGACACTTCTTGTGATCAAAAGTCTCGCCAAAGTATTCCACCAGTTTCTGTGCCCGACAGTTTGTAGTGTTCATCCCATACCTGTGTGAATGTGAAAAGTAGAACCACTTTGATCAAATACCGCTTGTGGGGTGGAAGTAAAACTGCAAAGAGAGGTACATACCTGAAGCAATCAGACAGCATTCTATATGCTTGATTAGTTTGTTCTTCACTTCTTCGATTTGGCAAAAGGGATGGTATTCTTGTCAGGTTTGCAAATAGAACTGTTTACAGATGTGGGAGATGTAGAAAAATTTCCCAGGTTAACATGGAATAGTTTAAATTCTAACTATTACATAGTTACGAATAGCACAATATTTGAAAAATCCATCGCCATGGGCTGTAATTATCAGCGAGATGAAATCAAATATATTAAAAAGAAGTCCTAAAATGAAACTAACAAGTAATAAAAAATGGAATTCTTAAGAGGCCACAACAGTTTTCATGCAACTTTATACTGTTCTCAATGTCCCTTTTCATGGGGGATCAAATTATACTTTGATAAATGAGAATTAACTATGAATATTGATATCGGATAGTACAAGGATATATATATATATATATATATATTTTACTTGGGATCCTTGAAATCCTTCCACTCTAATACCATGATAGTAGAACTACCAATCCCAAAAACCTGAGTCAGTAAATAGAGGCCAATTATTCGTTACTTTAATATTAAAACTAATATTAAAACTATGTGTCCTTTCAAAGAACTATTAATGAACTTACTACAATCTGCCAATTTCCCATCCCTTCCAGCACGACCAGCTTCTTGATAATAAGCTTCCAAACTCTGAAAACCAAAGCAGTGGTTATAAAGAATCTCGGAAGGTAACAGCTGGAATTGATATAAACAATAGAAAAGACACATTAAAATGCATACAGAAATTGAGCAAAGCAGACCACAATTAAGACAAATCCGTACAAACAAACGGATTGCAGAAGTTTTTAGCTTCTTAGACACAAAAATGACCGCACTAAGAAAGATCTATTATATCTAGTAAATTTGTAATTTGAATTATCACCTGAGGCCAACCATAGTGAATAATTCTCCGTACATTTGACTTGTCAATGCCCATTCCAAATGCTATTGTTGCAACTACAACCTGAAGAATAATGAAGCTGTCAATAATAATAAAGATTTAGAAAAATATAAAAATAAAAAAACCCTTGTGGATACATAAAGTACTAAACGTTTAAAGAAATCCATGAGATTAATGTCGTGAGGCTAAGAAATTAAATTTGAGATTTTAACTTCATTTTAATAAAAAGTTGTTCGAAAAATAAAATAAAATTGATGAAACCAATCATCAGTGCAAATCGCGCAAGCGAAGCCGGGAAACAGACCGCTGCTCAAATCAACTGTTAATATAATTAACTTTTTAAGTTATGGACGATGGCAAGCTGTGGCTAAAGATTATTCAAAATTTGAAATTATAAATGTTAAAAAAAGTGTATACTTCACTAATTATAAATAATGTCAAATCCAAAGAAGGAATTTATATAAGCTCCAGTTTTGGTGGTAATTGCTAACATTGAAGCATTATAAATGATCAGTTTATCGCTAAAAACTAAGAAGCTCGATCCAAAGATCTCTCTGTCTCTTCCCACAAGATTGGGTGCATTAAATTTTGCAGAGTTGGCCATGTCATGCACCACTGATAATACTTGAGAGAAAAGTACAAAAGGGTTAATACACTATATTCTCAACTACATTCGTACCAGAAGAAGCTAACTGAAACCTGCATATCACTTTGACAAACGGTTGTAACCCGCACATAGCAGAAAGAAAAAATGTTCTGCTTAAACGCTATTCATATGTTTAAATTGGTAGGTAGAAATCTAACGGCTTACTTGCCTATAACAGGGGGAAATGTAAACAAAATTGGGGAGTTAAAGAAAGGTAGAGAAGGAAAATTAAAAAAGGAAAAAAAAGAAGAAAGTTACTATATTAAACAGACCTCAACATTGTTATCGTGAAAATCCTTGTGAACCGTCCTTAAATGGGATTTTGGAAGCTGGAAAGAAATAGAAAAGCACATTTAGTTTTATTTCGATAGCTCGTTAGAGAATATTATTCATCCATAATAAATTCTAGGCAAGAACTAAGGGCAATGGAGTACGATGCCACACATAAAAATGAACAGCTAGCGATGCATGGAAAATTAACTCATGGAAAGATGGCGCATAAAACACTTTCAAGCCTGACATGGTCTCAAATGAAAAGGATGAAAGTCTACAATAGAAACAAAACTAAAACATAAAAACTTTTAATTGATAAATTTTATATGCAAAGGATATCTGTATCACAGGAAGTATAATGGACAGTGGGGGTCACAAATTAGTGTGCGACAAACTTGACAGATATAAGCACAAATTTGGCACCGTATATAGTGAACGTACCGATGCATTGTATGCAGCCGCCTTGACACCAGATTGACAAAGAAACTTTGAGACACTCAAAGTTTCTTTTCTAGTAGGAACATATACAATAGTTGGCCCTTGTTCTAGAGTCTCTCCACAAAGTTTTAGTCTTTCTTCTGCTTTACCCAGCACATCAATCTCCTCCAACGATGCATCGACATCCCTGTCCTCAGAAAGCAATTGTCCACAGAACTCACCACATGCAACTGCACAATTTTAAAAAATTATTATTATTATTAAAAAATTTAAAAACTACGTAAGAAATTAAGCCCTTTCTTGTTTGTTTTGAAGCGCATACATTACTCAATTACTCATTGTCACAGGCTTCTAAAGTTCAGATACAGTATAATTGCAAGAGTTTATACAGTAATGTCTGTACCATCCCAATCATCTACACTCTGAAAGACATCAACCTCGTTTTCCAAGTATTCAACAGACATTGTCCTTCCTGATGAGGAGGTTGGCAAACATTCTTCTTCAGAATCTATATCATCTCTATCTGAGTCAGAATCATCACTTTCCTCCACATCATCTGAAGACTTTCTGTATGCCTCACGTACGCTATTGTCAGTTGAGCAATGTAATACACTGTCTAATTTGTGAGAGATTATAGTTTGTTTCTTGTTGCCAGATCTTCTATTTCCAGCATACATGTCTATAAGATCGCTGAAGTCCTTCCTATAAGAGGATGGTGAAGTTGTTTTACTATGTTTTACCTGAAAAGAAAGGAAATAAAAAAAAATAGGATTTGGAAATGAGAACAAGAATTATAGTTTGTATTTCGTGATATAAACTAAACAAAGCAGAAACAAAAAGCAGTAAGATAGTAATCGCTAAATGAAAATAAATGGACAAATTTGAATGGGAAATCCAAGTTTCCACTACTTGGGAGAAAAATTAAAGGGGGGTCTATAGATGAACTGGTGTATGAGTGATAAATTTTAAAATTTTTAAAATGAAGTGCAATACTCACGGAGAAGCGAAGATTTGGCCTGAAAAATGAAGTTAGAATGATCTTTGTTTCCTTTGACATACATAATGACTTTAAAATGTCTTCTCGAACTTGAACTGTGGCAGTTGCAGTCAATGCCATCAAAGGCACGTCAAATCTCAAAAATTTTAGGGTTGAAGAGCTGAAATTCTCTCGCAGAATAGACAAACGCCTGAAATTTCAAAGTGATGATGATAGTAAGTTTAAAAAAGCTAAGAAAGTTGTATGTTAAAAAGCAATGGGGCATAAATTGAAAACTATTCTAAATTTGGGCATCATTTTGGAATCTTTTTACTGAAAAGTTGGTAATAAAACGGACCCAAAACACATTATGCAATTAAAACTTATTTGTGGATGCAAGATAAACACAATCCACAGGGGATCAAAATGGATGAAACCACGAGGAATGGAAATAAACCAGTTGTCTAGTTCAGGAAAAAGAGAACCTGTAGTCTGGCCGGAAGTCATGGCCCCATTTAGAAACACAGTGTACTTCATCAATTGCAAACAATGCAATTCCACGAGTTTCAGCTAGCTTTTGAAGTGGTTGAATCAATCTGCAAAAACATAAATTTAACCTTTCATTACATTTGCGAAAGAAAAAATATTTCCTCAACATTGGTCATTGATTTTTATGTGAAAATTACCTTAAAAGTGTCTCTGGGCAAACATAGATAATGCTATATGCCCCTCCCATTGCTTTCTTTTCCACAGAACTGTCAGGTTGCCCAGACCCAAGAAAGCAGGCAGAAACCCCATGCTTTGCAAGTTTTAAGCATTGATCGTGCATCAAGCTTATCAATGGCGAAATAACAACCACCACCTTGCCTGTTAATAAGGCTGGGAGCTGAAAACAGATAGATTTCCCTGAAAGCATATGAAAAAGTGCAAAAAAGATTTATCTTCCATCCAGTGCAATACTAACATTTCAAGCACGTAAAAGGGGAATGAGAGCCTAACGAGCAAAGTCGTACCAGATCCTGTTGCAGCAAGAACTAGACAATCTTGGTTGTTTAACCATGCTTCCAGAGCTTCCTTTTGGAACTTTTTCAAGGACGGATAGCCAAAATGCTTTTTCAGGAGCCTATTCAACTTCTTCTCCCAATCCAACAGGGTATCTGGTTCTTGTGACCAATCAACCAGATAAGAATCTGATTCAGCTTGAAGGTCACAAATTCGATGTTCCTGAGTATCTTCCACGGGATAATGGGACACTTCTGGTTCGGAAATTGGTAGAACTGGTTCAGCTTCAGTCTTACTTCGTTTACCCCTATTGGTTAGAGAAAAGTGATCCAGAATGCTAGACTGTCGCATTGGAACCAACAAAGACTGAGCTCTTTTTCCGCTTCGCTGAAGCATAGTAGGTTTTACCGAGATTTCACTCCTACAATCCTACTTTTCTGTAGATAAGGTATGATCTAGTTGCAGCATGAAAGGCTATGTTTCACAATTTATACATATTCCCTTTATCAAATACAGTGTAGAACTCAAACTCAAACTCAAACTCCACCGGCAATTGTAAATTTCATTCTGAAATACTCGGCAGCAGAAATATAAATTTCATTGGCAATCTACAACTGAATTTAAAAAATACATAATTAAATTGTGCAATCAGCAGAGCTATACAATTAACGTTCAATCATTATAACATTCACATTCTTTGAGCCTTCCGACAGTTTCTTTAAACTCGAATTGTTGACAAAATCTTGAAACAATTTGAAAAAAAAAACATATAAACCTAATTCTTTTCTTGACAAACAATCAGAATCCTCAAGCATTCCTATCAAACATAACGAACGCAGGCAAACGCTGGTAAAATGTTATGTAACTAGCGAGATCATCGAAAGATTTAAGAACATACTGAAAAAAAGTAGCTGATCCAGCGGACAATCCGATGCAACGTACAGATTATAACGAAGAATGACGGATTATAGCGAGAGATTTGATCGGAAATCCTCCCGATATCGGAAATTGAAGCAACGTTCTACACTGTCGCGCGCGAAAAGATTTGTAGCGGCAAAATTTTGGAAGCGTGTTCCGACCCAAGTAAAATTAAACCTGTACGTCTCTTGTAAATCAGATCCTTCTTACGACGTCGTTTTAAGACTACTACTTCTATTCTAATTTCCAAAACAATTTTTTTTTTTATCCTTTAATTTAAAAATTAGCTTTTATTTAATTAGTTTCTATTTTTAATAAATACTTTAAAACTTGAAAAAAAAATAATTATAACTTTAAAAAAAAATAGTTTTAATGTTTTTTTAATTAAAAAATGACTCTATTAATATATCAGTGTGCATAAAAGTCGAGAAGACGAGCCATAGTTACTGGACAACGGTAATCGTGTTTATAATATAATGCAATATTATATTTTTATTTAAAATGCAGGGACTAAATTAAAATTACTCAAAAGTCAAGACTAAAAATGTAATATTTCAAAATATAAGGACCAAACGAAAATTTAGCTCATAGACTATATGTATTTTTTTCATGGCTAAATATAACAATGAAATCAATTTAAAAAATTTGTAATTTAACAATAATTTTTTGCTATGGTTAATTTGAAACCGGTTAAAAGAAATTGCATGCAACACCCTATAAAGTTTGTTATTTACCATCACACCCTCTAACTTTTAAATCGATTAATTAGTCCCCAAATTTGTTATAAATTTTTTAATTCATTCGGTAACTATCACGTATGATGTAGTTGAATAATAGACTTAACGTAGTTTGAGGGTGATATATGCAATTTTAGAAAATTAAAAAGTGTGTAATTTTCAAAAAATATTTGCAAAATAGCCCTTAAACGCAATATTTGAAAATAATAAGGACCAAACGAAAATCTAACTCTTAAACCGTATGTGTTTTTCTCAAAACTAAATTAAACGTGGTTCATGATGAAATTAATCTGAAAAATACTTCCAAAACTGATTAAATTTGTAATTAACGACTATGATAAATTTGAAATCGGTTAAAAAAATTTCATGCAACACCCTACAAAATTTGTTATTTACCATCAGACCCTTTAACTTTTAAATTGATTAATTAGTCCTTGAATATTACGAAAATTTTAATTCATTTGGTAATTATCACGTGGGATGTAGTTACTATCATAAATTTAACATAGTTTAAGGGTGGTTTGTGCAGTTTAAAAAAAATGAGAATATATCATTTTCAATTTTTTTTTTTTTTTTTTTTTTTTT